AAAAAAAACCACTTGTTTTCAGTTTGAAATTAAAATCCGCTTGTTGCTGAGTTGTATTCTGATGTAAAAGCATCCATAAGCAATTTTAAGCAATCAGGAATGAAACCATTCTGACGAAAGTAAGTGAGTAACACTTGGTGTACGTATAAGTACTGTTGATCCGTCTAAAAATGGATTCTACAGACCAACTTGAACATTTTACTACAAAAAATCTCAAATACCTTATGTCAGTCGGGTAAAGCATAGTAAAAACACTTACAACTCACTTGTATGCTATTATTGCGTTGAGTTCTGAGCTGCTTCAAGTAAACAGGCATTTCTTCTAAAATCCCTCCATTTTGTAAAATTTCCATTGCATGTTGTAGTAATACAATAGAACCCGTCCTTCCTATTCCCGCCGAACAATGAATAATAATTGGGGCCCTGAAATTGTAATGTAATGAATCAAAATGAACATTGAGACCCAAAGTTTCGGCGCCTTCGTCTGCAGACCACCCTTATGCGAGAAGTTCGCACTGAACTTGGCCTTGAAGACTCCTAGCCACAACCGCCAACTTACGGTGCGGACTTCTCGCATAGCGGTGATTTAAGGACCTTTAATGAACACGAAGTCGTCGAAATTTTGGGCTCCAATTGCCGACTATCAGATAAAGACTACTCAACAAACTGGACACAGAATATGTGTCTACACAATATTTTTGAAGGGAACAGAAAATGAAAATTGTCTTTGAAAAAAATTGATGTACTTAGTGGTTTCGAAGTTATGTAGTAGATAAAGAGGTGCAATGTCCGCAGGTGGAACTCCTCGATCAGGCCAATCCATCCAGTGATAATGACAACACCTATGCGTGGGATAGCCTGGTATTGATACATCCAAAAATGTAATTTCCACTTTAACTTTTGTTGCGAAAGGGAACACATACTGAAAATAATTAGAATCTCAAAAAAGATGAGCTCTGAAAATCAAATTAAAATTAACGTTAGCTCCTTTCAAACAAAAACACTCTCTTGACGAGACAAAGTAGAGGTCTAATTACGGCCAATCGACGAAGTCTAATCTATTTTACGGTCGAAAGCTGACGTATAAAAGGTAGCGAGGCATCGCAATTAGGATGAGAAAATTAGAATAGACGAGTTAAAGTACCAAAGCCTCCGTTAAGAAGAAAATTGCTATTATGCTATGTAAAATGCATGCATAGTAGCCCATTGTGAAGGGCCTTCTGCCAGTAGAGAGTCCTCCATTCTCTGAACTGTTGGAAAGGATGATTGGAGCTGGAATGCTCAAGCTAACTACGATAGTACGCGAAACTGTCCATTTCAAGCAATGGTTTCACCGACCACAGTAAAACGATTTCCATTCGTACAATGCTTCTTCTATCGTAAATTATTACTTCATCCTTGCCC